AGCTGTTGCCCTAGTGATTTTGCAGATGGCTGTATGGGCAGATGGACTGGAAGTTCATACTATAAACATGCAGCAAAGAAGGAACCATGGTTTTGCACTGCTTAAGTTACCAGGATCTGCAGAGATGTCAAAGACATGTTATTCCCCATTTGGCAATATGCTTTGATTGCTAATTAATGCAAACAGCTTGTTGTCTACAGTAATACACAATTACTTCTCAGTGACCAAATGGCTTAACAACTTCAACAAGCAGTTCAGGAGCCAAAAGCATTCCATAAATAAGATGCTGACACTAAGCTTGTGTACTTTTATTTACAGATGTAATATTATAGCCATCTGGAAAACTGTTTATTTAATAACATCCAGTAACATGGGACTTGCCACCTGTTAACTGGCAAGTTATCAGCAAAACAGGTATCCAAAGGCATGAGTGGATCCAGCATTAAGAGATGGGGAGGAAGAGACAAACATTGACTGACTTACAATGGCTTCTAGTTTGGGCCATTCATTTTTGAAATAACAGTCCAATTTCTATGGAAATCATCATGGAATAAATCCAAGCACTGGAAAAGTATCTTACTGTCTAAATGAGAGACAGACTTCTTTCCATCTTTCTTGAAGAAATCAGAAGAGTCTTTGGTTAAAGTTCCCCAAATTAATGCATGACAAAAGCCTAAAGCTTGGATTTACTGCAAGCTCCACAGACCAGCAATGACATTTATTGTGAACATGGGTGGATCTTCCTCTCCAGCACACATCAATCTATAGCAGAATACAGAGACACTCAAACATTGAGCGATTTAGAGCAACTCCATGAGGTGGCACGTGAATGCCAATTAACTTCCTAGAAATGTTCTCCCTGAGGCCAAACATTTTCTGAAATGGTCTTGTAGTAAACACATCAGAAAACAATCATTTCAGGTGCACGGTTCATGTTCTGTGCACACAGACCAGAGTGTTCCAAGCACAGAAAACTTTTTACAGAATTAGATGGCCAGAAAAAGAGATATAGCACAGAACAGAGCATGAGCTGGATTTTCCATTTGATAAATACATATTTAGGATCTAACATATACTGCATCTGTACAGAAATTCTGTCTGCAACAAGTTAGAGGATAGAAACCCTGTCAGGATTTTACGTTACATTTAAAGTAGAGTTTAAGTCATTAGAGAACACAGCCACCATAGCTTCTGTCTGCATTCCCATCATGCCGCTTCAGTCTTTAAGCCCTAAAACCAAATCATATAAACAGCAAACAGCAGTAAACAGGGCAACTTTATTGTATCTAGACTTGTCTGTCTTGTCTCCCAACTGCAAATCCATCACTACAACAAAACCACCTTTCCTACAGTCCTGTAGCTTCTTGTGCAAAGCTGTACTGGACTACTAGAGCTGAGGAAATACAGCTACACTTACTCTTGAAGTCTAAAACTTTCTATAGAGCCAATGCAGACGCCTCTGGTGCTGATAATAAGTAGTGCAAGAATAGACCTAATGCAGTTACTTTACCATCGCAGCATCTAGCTCCTATCTCAGGCCAGATGATGGCATGATGGGATACTGCAAAGTAAGCTTGGTCACGACTAATTGGCATTCCGGAAGCAGCACAGGTACAGAAGATGCCTTGCATTTTCCTTGTAGATTTGCATATAAAAATAAAATATATATATTTTAATTACATATTATTTCCCTCTAATACACTGAAACTCAAATGGTGGAATTTATTAGACTTCTTGTTCTGAACACAGAATGGGAACACGGATAGTTGAAAAAATAAATGATCAGTTAGGATATATTTACTTTGAAAGCTAGATAATGCTTAAAAGTTCAGAGCAGAGAAAAATTCTGGAGACTTTCCTCTTTTCCACAGATCATCTTACATTTGCATAATAACAGTAATTCTGACTAATGGCTGCCATGTTTCTTTAATCCTGCATTAAGTCTGAGATTCATATTTACCTTCTGCTTCCAGGATCACTGACTGGCCTAGTAACTGTGACAGTACCTAGCACATTTAAACTGAGTCACAGGGAATAGTACTATCCATGAGTGAACAGGTTCAATATGGAATCAGAAAAATCTGCTATAGTGAGATAGTGTGTGTAGAAATAAGTTTCAGTTGTTATCCTACAGGATTTTTTAGTGTGTTGAAACTCCTGTTATCTTAAAGACTTCCCAACAATGAGACAGAAATCAGACATAGAAATAAAAATAAAATAAAAAAAATCATGCTACATCATAGCAACACTAATGTTTGCTTTATATGCCCTTTCTCACGCAATCCTAAAATCCTCTAATATTTCCATTACTTTTTCATACATACTATAAAACATCTTGGATGACAATATTAAGTGCATACATGTATTTTTTAAAAGAAAAGATGTACTCATATTCATAGTGTAAAACAAAAAAAATATGAGATATCTCATCAAAAAGTCATAAAAATTATATAAAGCTAATTCACACAAGTCTGCAACTTGGCAAGAAGGTATATCTTGGGACTACTGGGTACCATCAAATTGAATTTTCAAGACATGAACTGTTCATCAGTACTTATCCTGACTAAAGAATCTATTATTTTAGAGTTCTCTCCCCTTCACAAATGGACATGAAAAAAAAACAGCAAAGAAGGAAAATAATCTTCAGAAAAGTTTTCAGAAACACTACACAAAGCAGTTTTTAAAAAGGGAGCCCACACAAATTTTTCAAACCCACTAGGCTTTGAAATAAGCCACAAATACCAGAAGACTGTCAGAAGACTGCAACTCTGGAACCCTCTGAAAACTTTCTGTATTAACATATTCTTCTTAAAAATGCAGATTTAATATTGCATTTGCTATAAAATTAAATATTGCAGTTTCTGTACAATTATCTGTAGAGCACTCATTCCTGTAAAATGAAATTTGGAAATGTTTTTAACTGCCCCACACTGGATTAACTGGATACCAAATTACGATATGAGGAGATACAGAGATCACACAGGAGAGATTGCAGCTGAATACCTTCCCAATGTTAACACCACATCAGATAGGCAAGATAAGTATAAAGAGGAAGCAATGTATGATTTAATTGTGCCACATTCTCAATATCATGACAGAGTGAAGTAGTTCTGACCTGTATATGCTCCTTTTCCACACACTTTTCAAACATACGAACAAAAGTTCATACCCATAGATGATAGAGGATAACTTCTACTCCTACTGATTTTTCATTTATTATTAAACAGTGCTGTTCTACTCCTGGTAGAAACACTTTTCCACTGCTTGTAACTATTGACTGCTGTCTAACAGTCAGCAGAGCTGAAATGACAATATGCAACTTATGTAACCAATTTCTTAGTAGCAGTGAACAACAGTCAAACAAAGTCCAAGAGAAATTCACCACTTTGTGAAACTGTATTTGCACAGAGTATGAGTTAATTAAATATGGTTACAGTCATCAAAAAAATCCCCAAAACCAAAGTGTATTTGCTTATAATTTGTGGGCAGGAAAAAGTGGCACACATGGCACATGAAAATTGAGGAATAAGTTACAATTCCACAGCTCTAAAGAAATAGGCCTTACTGAAAAAGAAATGTACCAAAGTAAATACACTTTCATAGTGGCAGTGTTCAAATATGTCATTTGCACAAAGTCGAACAAAAGTTTTCCTGCAATTTCTAACCTTCCCCATTTCATTTGTGAGCAAGGCAACCTGAGATGCTGTTATGTACAGGAATTAAGTTCTGAATCCCTAAACCAAATAATGCCATGTGTAGTTTTGAAGATGCACCTACCTGTAGTGGCATAAAGCATTTTCAGGACATATAAAAACTAATTTGCAGTGTTCAGTCATGCACAAATCTGTATTACATATACAGATGTAGCTTTAAATACTGCTCAAACAACAGTCATCACATGGGGAGACAAGACAACACTGCATCCTACAAAGGAGACAACTTGTTTAATATGATTCTAATCCTAACCTGATTTCTTAGCTGCTTCTCTCTACGGCCATAAATGTTTTCTCTATTTCCTGTTAGTAGCCCCAACCTATGCATCATTTTCCACCCGTTACTGATGCCTTCATCAATACCTCCCTTCTACTGCAAGTACTACATTTCCAGTTACCTTGTCAGCAGAGCTGAGGTTTTTTTCTAGTCTACCCACCACCCTTTTGTTAAAAGCACTATTCCCTCCCTTGCTGTGTCTCATTTAAACATTCAAACTGACAGTCTATTAGGTGTTCTGGTGGCAGCTTCTTAAGAGATTGAGGCCTTTTGTTTGTCAGCCCCCTGACACACAGTCTACATGTAGCAGGGAGGTGACATACAAAGAATCTGTTTTAAAAATTAGAGAGAGCAAGAGAGAGATCTGCACAGAGTAAGTGAAACTGCTCTGAGAACGTGGCTTTTCTGGAAATGGGGTTGCTGCCGCTTTCAGGCTAAGGCAGCTCTTTGGTTTGCCCACACAATCAGCATATCAGGCAGTTCGAGGGGTGATGAATCTAAAGCAGATGTGGAGTTTTAACTTTAATGGTCCTTCTTGTGTCTGAAGACATTAACATTGTGATGGGGGTTCCCTATCATTTCACTGTACTGATTCCGCAGATGGCAGAAATCTGAAACATCACTCAAATTATCAAAAACTGGAGGAGAAAGAAAGTGTTTGTATGCCCTGAAAAGGGCAGCAAACTGTATGTAAAGATCCTTATTGAGTAGTAGGAAGTTGATTATTACTCTAATAATGTAAAACTTGTGCAGTTTACTCACATTACCTGTTTCTGCTGCTAACAGATAGAGACCCTACTGAAGAAGCTTTCGCTTCCTTGTATTAACAGTCCATAATGATACAGTCAGAACAAGAACCTTTTAAGACCATCCTACTATGACTGTTTATCTTTGTCCATATGTTATCAAAAATTTGTCCTTCAGCCATTCCTATTAATAACTCTGACCACCTAAAGGAATTAAAAAACTCAGTTCAATGTATTTTTTATTTAACTCAGTTGTCTACTCACCCATCTGCACAAAGCCCAGATGTTGGAAGTAATGGATGAAATTCATAGTCTCACGCCTATAACAGATGTCACAGAAGCCAACTTTTCCCTATACAGAAAGAGCACTAATTAAAATAAAATATATATTAAAAAAAAAAAAAATCAAAACTTCCAACGTCAGCCTATTACAGTCTCAGAATATTATTGAAAAATGATGTTCTAATGATCCTATTTCAGAAATGTAAATATTTTGTAACTTGCACTGGAACTTCCTCTAACATTTACTGTTGTACTATGTACCATTATGAAGCAGACTTTTACAAAATAAATCACAGAAAAGCCTGTCATAGTCATTTAATATGTAGAAAGAGAGAAATCATGCATTTATTGTTGCTCTTTACCTTCCTTGACTTTTTTTTTTTTGTTCTCCTTCTTTTTTCTCCCCTTCTGTCCTCAGTGGAAATGGGGGATCACCAAGAGATACAGGACAGAAAAGTATTCTGCTTTCTCCCCTTCCTCTGTTTTTTGCCTAATACATTCCTTCCTCACGTACTGAATGGCCATTTTTCTGTTAAAGGCATTTATTTCCTACTGCTGAAAATTCATACCAAGAGCTCTTCTCTTGTCTAAAATAAGTTACTCTCCTTTTGTGGGCAACTGTAAGGTTCACTGACAAGTGTCTTCTATTTATCTTGTTCACTGAATATGCTGCCATTTCAGTACAATCATTATTATTTGGTTCTTAGCAGAAATTCAGTTTCTTATTACTCTTATTTTTTACATGGACCTTTACTGGCCCCCAAATTCATCTCAATACTACCTTCTACAACGGATTTGCTTTTTCTACAACTTCTTAATAAGCATCAAAGTATCACATCAACATAAAACTGTGAATCATGCTGGCAACTTAAATATATATCTGCAGTTAAGGATTTTCCAAAAGCGATTCAGAACTAATCAAGAGATTAAAATCAACATCAATATATTCCAACTCCTTAATTTACCTGACCCCTCAGATCATTATTTTTAATTAATGTTTCTATACGTAAACTGCTGATATCTGTGATTGCCAACTACTATGTAAGACCTTCTTACCTGCCTGCTGCCCTTTTTAAGAAGTTATAATTTCATTGGTTAAGTATCTCATTCATCTTGCCTCTCTATTAAATTCTCTGCCATTTTGAGTACTGTGTCTTCCATCTCCAACCAAATCATAGCCAAAAAAAACCTGCTGAAATCATCCAATTTTTCAACAGATACATCAAAGAGCGCTGAGTAAAGCGAATCTCTTCCCTTAATTCTGCACTACTGGTAAATGAAAGGATATTAGTCTCTCAAGAAACCCTCAACTTTTTGACCTATGAGCCACAGTGGTGTTATCTTACTAATTTTAATAGGCGCTCTAATTTCTTTCAATACAGACTTTTCTTGAAATACTTCTCTTTCTTAAGGCTTTTAATAATCACTCATATATTTTAATACCCCTACTTTCTGCTGAGCAAGCAATTTCTTGTTATACTCACATAGACTGGTTGAAAATAATGAAAAAGAGTCTACTTCTAGATAACAGTAATTGTGTAATAGGCATTAAATAAGTTATTCGAGGATTATTATTCAACCCCTTCTATGGCTTTGTACTTTATTACAATTTAATCTGTTTCAGTGCTTTCAAGAAACAATAATCGAGAGACTACAAAATCTGTTTTAAACAAATCTGTGGTTTTCATCTACCATTTCTTAAATTCATTCATTTCAATAATTTAATTTTAAGTGATCACTGAAAGCATTACACAGTATCTTGTCTTTAAATCTGTAAGCATCCATGTGAGGGCTTTAAAAATTTTAGATCCATTGTTTTGATGAAAAAAGGGATTTTATCACTTATGGTCATATAAATTGAAAAACAGTACTCAAATTCTAGTATACTGCACATTTAATCAAAAAAGTCAACACTGTACATTCTTCAGCTAGAAAACACTGCATTAATGGCTCCAACCATTACTGAAAATTCTGAGGTCAGTAGTCAACAGACAATATAAAATGGGGCACTGTGATTTTAAAGACTTCCAGTAAAACTGAATTATTCCAAAAAACCTTGAATTAATTTCCAGACAGTTATGCTACTAGAAGTAGGACTAAAGTTCTTTCCATAGCCAAAAGCCAAGACTTGTATTATGCAACACCTCAGTTATCTATAATGTGTATCATGCTGAGCCGTTCATACAAGAATATCCTTTGCCTCCTTTAGGTTGAGAGGTAATTTAACCTCAGTACTAGCTCATTTCTCCCAAGATTGCCAGTCTTGTGAGAAACTACAAGATTAGATTTACAATGAGAACAAATGTGCATTAGGCAGAGGAATTTACCCCCATCTTCACCCTAAGGCTGATATACAAGACTAAAGGAACAGACAGTTTTTCTCCTAATCTATTGCAGATTGATAAGGTGAAGTATCTTATTTGTTATTAAGATGTAAAATATAAGTATTCTAGGTTCAGTAGTGGAGGCTTAAATACGTTATTGACAAACTTTTATTCCCTTATTCTGGGAGTCAACTTGTGTAATTCAATATCCTTCACTACCAATGTGTTATTTCCAATCTTGTCTAATACTGTATCTCTGTCTAAATCCTCTTTTGAGAACATAATTGTTCATTCATTCACTGAGAACAAATCAGTCTCATACACAAAAGCCTTAGTACAGATATACATCATTGTATAGTTAAAACTTCAAAATGCTTTAAAAACAAATGCATGCAAGATGGGACAGTATTTTCACAGTACTGAGAAGAGCTAACAATGCAAGTCAAACAGTAACAGGTTTATGCCATTGTGTGCTATCATTAATATAAAGTACTGAGTAAGCCAAAAGTACCTGGCATTGTTCAGTTGTTTTTAGTACTTAGTTACAGTCACTAATATGATTGCTAACAAGTGCTTGGCTATGACTATACAACAAGGAAATATTGCTGACTGGACATGGGACAATAAAAATTAAAATATTTTCTTTACAGGATTGAATAAAGTTCCCTATGAGCTGCAAAGCATCAGCCTGAATCACATATGAAGTGTCAGAGGCCTTATTCCTAGTGTTGAGTGGAGACCGAAGTAACAGTTTTGGATTTCTACACATATAGGGGGAATAAAATGACTTCAGGTCTGTTTTTCTAACACCAAGGACTTCAGAGGTGAACAAGTATAGAATTCCTACCCATGTCTACCTCAGTCTTTGCTACTTTTATTCCATCGCATATGAGCTGAGCAGCCTTTGACTCAAATGAAAAAATACTTCAATATGCCAAACTAGTACTGACTTCAGGTGAATAGGATGATCAAAATGAATGAATGAAATCAGAGATACAGATTATTCTCTGTTCAAGCAAAACGCAAATCAGGCTCAAGTCACTTGAGATTCATTCAAGGAGTGATTACAACCCAACTAATCAGAAATAACAAAGACAATATACAAAATTTAAATCATCATTCTAACTAGGTCAGCAGAGAACAGGTGAGCAGCCCAAATGCCACAGAAATTACCACATGAAACAATGTCAGGAAAATTATAGAAGTCAGAGGGTATCTTTTCTGCATATAAACAAACAAAAGATCAAAAGCCTGGCCTATGATTTTCTGATTCACAATATTATTCAACACTTGGAATTTGATCTTATGCTAGTTGAATATGAAATGGACTCTTCTGACATTTTCCATAAACGGGAACTCTTTTAATTTCAGAAAGACTTACTTAAATTTTTATTTTTCTCCTGTTAATGGTTTCCACCCCATTGGCAAAAAAACATTCCTGGACTATTTGGTCCTACAGAAAACCTTGAGAATACCATGCAGATTTCTGACAGAAAGCAATCTGCATTGAGACAGACGTTCAATATCTCCCATACTTTTTCACAAAATTTTTTTACTTTGATCAAGCGTGTTTTGTCTCAAAATTCCAAATCAGAAAGGGACTGAGCATTTGCCATACTCCCTTTATATAGAAAATGTTGAATATTTTAAAACAGAATACTCTTTTATAATAAACTCCTAAAAAATTGTCTATGATTACCATGGAATCTAACGTTCAACCTTGATATTACATGATTCTCCATAAGCTTACCATAACAAAATGCTAGTGCTCACAAAGGAGCATTCAGATTCACCTCAGTTTTCTCCTCATGCTTTCTTTCTTTTCTTCCTAGCCCTCTGATGTTTCTCCTAATTAGTTTGCCAGAAAAGCAACTTTCTGCTTGCTATTAATCAATACCCACAAATACTCTAAAAATTACTAATTCAAAATTCCTTCTAAACTCCAGCATGTAATTTGAGTTTCCTGTACAAAATCTTTAGTATCAAGAACTATTGGATTGTCAACAATAATTATTGCTACTGATAATTATGGTCAGGGAGACAGAAAACATTGAGTTCCCCATGCAAACCTCTAGGAAGATGATAATTTAAGGCATAGGAAAAGCAGATTCCCTCTATTTTGGCAGTGACGTCACATTATGATGCACACTATGCCAGTTTGGTAATAACAGTCAAATGAGGCAAGTATACTTTCAAAACAAGTGTCCTAGTTTGGGCTGGAAGAGTTCATGTTTGGTTTTGGTAGCTAGAAGGATGATGATAGCACACTTACATTTCAAGGACTCTCCAACTCCATGTGTCCTGCCTGTGCGCAGGTGCACAAGAGGCAGGGAGGGAACACAGCTGGAGCACTGGGCCCAGACTGGCCAATATTCCATGTCATGCGACATTATATTCACCATATAAAGGAGGGGTGGGTGGGAAGGGGTGCGCTCTCACTTCTGGGATTGCAACTGTGGCGTATTTGTGTTTCAGGATTGTTAGCCAGGAATGGTCTGGGTGTCAGTTGGCAGGTGGTGAGCGATTGCATTGTACATTACCTGTTTATACTGTCACCGTTTTATTTTATTACCATTATTAAACTGTTTCTATCTCAATCTGCGAGTGTCCCTTTGCCCCTCCAATCCCTTCCCCATTCTCAGGTGGGGGAGGGTGGGCGAGTGGCTGCGTGGTGTTTGGCTGCAGACCAGGCTCAAACCACAACAAGATACATTAGCATTAGAGAGGTAGCACAGAACAAAGAGAA